GTTCATAAAAGTAAGGCCATAAGAGTAATATGTCAAAAGTGTGGAAAGTCCTCTCAATATCATAACATAGCTTCCCACTCCCCCAAGTGCGAGCCCAGGGAGGTGGATACCCTGGCAAAAAGCCATACCTGCTCTATGTGTGGGCTGGCATTCCATACCAAATCGGGATGAAGCCAACACTGCAGACACAGGCACCCCGCCATTAGGAACGAACAAAGAAAGAAAAATATAGCAGCAAAAAGTAAGAGTACAGAGGTATCTTCTCGATCTCGTATCTGGACTAATGAGGAGATCGAGCAGCTTATACAATTAGAAAATAAATACTTAGGGAAAAGGAATATAAATAAATGTATAGAAAGTGAGTTAAGGACTAAAACTAACAAACAAATGTCAGATAAAAGCCGAGAATTGACGACAAAGAAGAAAATGGTGATAGTTGGATGTAAGGATGAAGTGAGAGAGGTAGAGAAATTTAAAGAAAATATATTAGAAGCTTCCCCCCCGAGAGAAAGGATCTTACCATTGAAAGGACATCCAAATATGGATCAAGTGGGAAAAAAAATCTGTAAGCAGGGGAAACAAAGCAGGGAGGGACGGGAGATAGTAAATAGCCTAGAGGAGATTGAAATGCTATTGAAGGAGAATCTAACAAAAGCACTTGGATGGGCTATGTTAGAAAAGCTATGTAATTCATTAGTTGGGGAAAATGTTAACAGGAATGAGGAACAACTAGAGCTGAGAAATAAGGGGAAGAGAGGGAAGATAGAAACAGTCCAGTGCTATTACAAAATATGCCACCAAGAAGGCAAAATTTAAGTTTTATCAACAGTTATTTGATAAGGATAGGAGAAGATTAGCCCGAATTATAATGGTTAAAAATTTGGGTATTTTCGAGTGCTTCTGTAGCAATATTAATCTTCGTATTAATGTGAAGAAGACGAAAGGTTTTCACATTTTATCAAAATACAAAACTTATATAGTGAATCCAAAAGATAATTGGAATATAGGGACTGAGAAAATTGAGTACATTCAACCGGGGGAATTTGAATAATATCTAGGTGCAAGAATAGATCCCTGGATAGGGAGAAATTGAATGAATGGAGTGAGAGTTTGATTAAGGCACCCTTGAAACCAGCTCAGAAATTATTGATTTTACAAACATTCATTTTACCAAGGCTATTTCATAATCTACTTTTAATAGAACCCCCTTTTTATCTTTTAAATGATTTGGATATTTCAGTCAGAAAAATAGCCAAACAAATTTTACATCTACCGCAATGCACCACTGATGGATTATTTTATTCAAGAGGGAGGGATGGAGGTCTTGCACTCACGAAGTTTAGTATACAGATTCCAAATATGTTAATTCGAAAATGGAGGAGACATATTGTCTCCAAAGATAATTGGATAGATCTATCTTATTTATATGCCGAAGAAAATCTAATTGATAAGATGTTTAGTGCAGCAACACCCCATCCTAGAAAATGAAGAGAAGAAGAATTTTTAAGATGGTGTGAGTTGAGGTGTCAGGGAGTAGGAATAAAGTATTTTAAAAATGATACAATTAGCAATTCAATTTTTTTAAATTCTAGTAAGATTAAGTCTTCTTCATATATTGCAGCACTTCAACTCAGAGCAAATATTTACCCCACTAGGGAGACGTTAGCGAGAGGAAGAGGGGGAGTAAATGCTTTTTGTAGGTGGTGTGGTAAGGTGCGAGAGACGATACCCCACATATCTGGTCAATGTTATAAAACCAAGGATGCAAGATTTAAAAGACATAATAGAGTAGTATCTGCAGTTATAGATAAGGTTGTTAAATTAGGATGGAAGGCATTAGCAGAACCCCATTTAAAAAATAGCAGGGGAGAGCAGAGAAAACCAGATATTCTATTTACTAAGGGTGATATGGCGGTGGTGGTGGATGTCACAGTGCGCTGGGAAGATAATGCCGGGAGTTTGGAGCAAGCCCATAGAGAGAAGGTGGCTTATTACCTCGAATTAGAGGAAGAGATCAAAAACTTAACAGGTGGTAAAAATATCCACCTCTTTGGCCTTGTGCTTGGGGCGCGTGGAGTGATGGAAACAATGATCGGTTGAAAATATTAGGAATTGAGAATGGTTTTAAATACTTATTATAAATACTTAATAAATGGATTATATCCTATTTTAAATTATTATTTTATTTTTTACTGGATTTGGATGCGGACTGGCCGCTTAGAGTAACCAGGAAAGGGCAGGTAGTCACACCTGTACATAAATAGCTGCCGGAGCCCCGCCGCTGCTACCCCAGGGCTCCGGTAGCAGGGCTCTGGGGATAATTTAAAGGGTCCGGGGTGGTAGCGGCTGCCAGAGCCCCAGGCCCTTTAAATCACCGCCCGAGCCCCCGGCTGCTGCTGCTACCCCAGGGCTCCGGCAGCGCGGCTCGGGGCTCCCACTGCCGCTACCCTCCGGGGCCCTTTAAATTGCCATCCGAGCCCCGCTGCCGGAGCCCTGGGGTAGCTGCGGCAGGGATCTGGCGGTGATTTAAAGGGCCAGGGGCCCCCCGCTGCCACTACTGCAGCGGAGCCCCCCCTCTTCCAGTTGAGGCCACACCTCTTCCGGTTGAGGCTCCGCCCCTCCTAAGGACTCCGGAGTACCGGTAAGTCCTTTAAGTTACTTTCACCCCTGCTCATGGCAGCAGCAACAGCATGGCGCAGCCAGCTGGTGGGTGCAGTGGAGCAGGGTCAAGCACTCCTGAAGTCCAGCTGGCTTTTGGGGCGGGGGGAAGGGGGGGACAGACACTGCCAGCTCCAAGAGGAGCAGCGTGGAGGGAGCCATTAAGAATGGACCGATGCTTTCAGTGAGAGAAGTGGCATTAGGGATGCTTGTCGCATGTATTTATACCTGAGGTAACCCCAGTGTTTGCTCCACCCAGCGGACCGGCATCTGCACTGAGCGACCCCATTCAGCAGACCCTACCGGGCATGGGGAGATGAACTGCTCTAAAGTCAGCAGGTCCCGTGGCGGGGGCGCTGCGAGCCCGGTGGAACAGCCTAGCAAGCCACGGAGAATATCTGGCTAGGTACTGATCTGCCATCCCTGCAGAATCGAAGTACCTCAGAACGGTGCGCAGATTTGGCCTCACAACCACCCCCCGCAGCAGGGCCCTGCTCTTATCCCCACTATGCAGCTGAGACCTACAGCTAGAGAGACTGGCCCAAGGGCACACAGAGTCTGCAGCAGAGCTGGGGATTGAGTCCAGGTCTCCTGGACCCCCACGTCAGTGCCTTGACCCCCCCCCCCCACACACACACACTCACCATCCCACAATCCTCCAATTAATAAAGCCAGAGAGAGGAGCACTCTTCTAGAGCCTGGGTGTGGAGGAAACACACAATGGGCCAGCTGGAGCCACTGGGTCAGTGATTTGGATGCATCCAATGGATTTCAGCCCATATCAGGACAAGGGACAGTCCAACCCCCCCGCCCCACATGTGACAGATCCCATTCCCTACAGGTATCTCTCATGCTCCACAAGATGGTGGAGACGGGACAAGGGGTGGAGGTGGCTACCGCTCCCACTGACCACACTGCCCTGGAGCAACACTAGGGAGGAACAAGATCTTAGGTCAAGTGCCAGATTCTGCTCCCAGTTACAGCAGCGTAAACACCACTGAATTCAGTGGAGTTGCTCTGGATTTACATCAGTGTAACAGAATTTAGCCCCAGGAAAAGTTCTGACTACGGCATGAAAAGAGGGTTTGAGATGTCGTAGAGAAAAACGCCTGATGGGGCTGGCTTTGCGTGGTGAGAGGGAGCCAAAACGCCTCTGCACAGCGCCAGCCGCACTTCCAGGAAGGAGCTGATGGACTGTGTGAATCTAGCTCCAGCACTCGATTCCCCAAAGGCTGGGCAAGGGAGGGATCACAGCCGAGCCCCCGTCAGCTAGCAGAGAGGTGCACAATGTGTGCATGCAGCGCTGGTGCTTAGAGAAATACAGCTCCCATATCACAGTCTGCACAGTAACACGGGGCCGAAGCTGCAGAGAGCTGGTGAGAAAGGCAGTTGTACTTGGAGGTACATGGGAAGCTGTGCTTTGAGCTCTCACAGCCCCTGCAATGCTCAGGACCTCCTGCAGAGGGATCTTTGCAGCAGTGGGTACAGGTGGGTCACGGTCACCTTGATTTTCAAATAACGGCAAGTACCAGAAATACCCCATGATGTTAGTATGAGATCGCCCTCTAGAGGTGGCGCTGTTACCTTGCTTGTGCAACACTTGAGCAAAGTAAGAGTAAGCAAGGCACCCACATAGCTCCTCCTTTACTCTGACGGGTGATGCAGGGTGGCAGCAAAACGGTTTGATCTGAGTACCTGGGGCAGGGGTGGAAGCCAGAAAAGCGTCATCGCTCCAGTACCCTGCCTACAGCTGTGAGTTATCGCTATCCAGAGGGCTCAGCTAAGGGTTGCTGTGAGTCCCAGCACTTCGACCGTCCTGACTCCTTGGCACTGACATCCTCCACCACAACGTTGCATGAACATGTTGGTTTCCCCCGGCAATGGAGATCTCCTGGCATATTTAAGGCTGACAATGCAGTGTGAGGGGAGCAGGACGGGAGCAGGTGAGCACCTTAGTCACAGGGGCACCGGAGCAGCTACTCATTTAGCAATAATAAGGCACAGAGTCAGCAGCCAGACGGGGCACTGGATTCCAGGGTTCTATCCTGCTGCCCATCACCGAAGTATCTGAGCACCTTCAGGAAGAGAAGTTCTACTGGACCTACTGCCAACTCGTTGCCATGTGTGTGTCTTTCCCAGACTCCTCGAGGGACTCTGACTCTACAGCCCTTTCCACCCGTTCAGCCCCTTCCCAGGCCTTTCCCGTGGGGCATTGCAACTTCAGCTTGTGCGTAAGGCTCTCACATGCTGGGTTCATCAGCTGAGCTCCTCTCCTGCTTCGGGCTCCCAGATGCTCACGAAAGCGAGTGCTCCCCCTGAAACATTCTACAGGCTCGGGGGGTTTACAGGGTCTCTCTGCCCGCAGCCTTGCGAGGGCCTTGCTGGGGTTGCCTCCCCTCGGAAGGCTTCTGCCCATCCAGCCGGGCTCTCTTGCGTGCGTGGGATCGCTGGTGTTGGAGAAGGTTTGTGCTCTGGCTGAAGCTTTTCTCGCAGTCAGGACAGTGGTAAGGTCCCTCCCCGGTGTGCAGTCGCTGGTGCTTAAGAAGGGCTGAGTTCCGGCTGAAGCTCTTAGCACACTCAGAGCATCTATGGGGCCTCTCCGTGCTGTGGACCCTCTGGTGGCTCGTATACTGCTGCTTGCAGCGGAAGGTCCTCTGGCACGTGGGGCATCGGTAGGGGTTCTCCCCTACGTGGATCCTCTGGTGCCACATGAATTCCTGCTTGTAGCGGAAGCTCTTCTCACAGCCCAGGCACTTGTAGCTCTTCTCCCCGGCGTGGCTCCGCTGGTGCCACGTGAACTCTTGCTGGTAGCGGAAGTGCTTATCGCAGGTGGGGCATTTGTACGGCCTGTCGCCCACGTGGGCTCTCTGGTGCCAGGTGAATTCTTGCTGGTAGCGGAAGCTCTTCTCGCACTCGCTGCACTTGTACGGCCTCTCCGCTGCGTGGGCCCGCTGGTGCCAGACCAGCTCCTGCTTGGAGCGGAAGCTTTTCTCGCACCCGCTACATTTATAGAGCCTATCGCCGAGGTGGGCTCTCTGGTGCCACGTGTATTCCTGCTTGTAGCAGAAGCTTTTCTCGCACTCGGGGCATCTATACAGTCGCTCTTCTGGGGGGATTCTCTGGGGCAGGGGCTGGGCTG